ATTACTTCACCGTGTTTTTGTTCACCATGCGCCGCGAGTGGTCGCGCATAGATCGGCTCAGGTTAGACAAGTTTTACCTCTTGATTCGCAGGTTCCTTCATGGGTTCTTCTCTCTTCTTGATAGCAATTCGTGGGATATGGAATTCACTCGCCGTTTGATGGGTGTTTTGTTTGATGGGACGTTTCTTGCTAGTGATAAGTTTCAAGGGAATGGTGTTAACTATCACATAGCTTCTGCTTTTGTTGAAGAACTTAGGTCGTTTCTTCCTCTAAGGAAGGAGGTTTTGGGGCTTTTGTTTGTTCCTTTTGTGACTGTTTTGGGCGTGGTTAGTGACAAGATTTTGGTGGTGAAGATTAAGAGTAATATGTTTGATGAGTTACTGAAGATGGGGAAGAAGCTGCTGGATATTAAGAAGTCTGGGAATGATGCAGTTTCTGAGGATGCTGATGTTGTGGTTTTGGGATCCATTGCGTTGTCTATGGATTTTGCTAAGAGGTTCTATGAGATGGGTTCTTCTCTAGATTGTCATCAGGGTAATAGGAAAGCGATATTTTCTCTTCACAAGGAGTTCTTGCAGTTGGAGAAAGATATGTCATCTTCCTCTATCGAAGTTTCTATCACAGAAGCTTCTCGCCCCAGAGGTGATGCTGAAGTGCCTGAGTTGGTTCCCGTGTTTGGCGAGACAGAAGAGGACAAATCAAATGCTGTTTCTGAGTCTAAGAAGATTGTTGCAAATGGGTTTTCTTCAAAGAAGAAGAAGAGTTTGAAGAAATGTTCAAAGGTTAAAAAAGGCAGTGTCAAGAAAGATGCTGATGTTTTTGACCTTGGTAACAAGGAAGAAGAAGTTGATGAGACTATGATATCAGATCTTCGAATGGAGTTTGAGAAGATTGCATCCGAAATGGGAACATCGAATAACGAAGTTGCAAGTGTCTGTGAAGAAGCGGAACCTGTGTCAATAGCCAAAAAGACCAAGAAGAGGAAGAGAGAGAACAAAGGGGTAGAGCAAGGTACTACTGTTAACAGAGATGCAGCAGAGACAAGCTTAACCGGCCCGAGCGGTGAGAAGAGCTCAAAGAGAGTAAGATTCGCAATGAAGAACAATTTGGTGTGGAAGCCTCATTGCCCTCTACCTCCACAAGACTTGAGGTTGCCTCCGTCTGCTACACCAAGAGGAAGTGCTCTGAAGAAAGGAATCCCGGCTGGTCCAGTGAGGGAGTTGCCTTCTCAGAGTAGGAAAACGAAGAAGAAAGTGAAACCCAACACACGCAAAGGTGTGAAGACGATCAAGAAGTTGAAGAAGAAATTGACTCCATGAAAACGGAGTGTTTGAGTCAATTGTTGCTTTGCTGCTTTCTTTTCTTTAAATTTTGTTATAGTTCCAACTTTTTAATACGCCTTCCAAGATTTTATTTGCTGATTTGAGAATTATGAGAAAAATCTTTGCCATTGAGGCTTCCAAGGATTTACTAAGATCAAGAATTTGGCCATTAGTAAGGTAGATGGTTCACCTTCAATATGAGATATTGAGATTAGTAGTAGGATCCACACTGGAGAGAGATCATGATCCGTTTAGATCAATGGAAATTTGTTTCACCTTTAGGATTGGCATATGTATTAGCAAGTGGATTCCTTACAAGTTACAAATCGCGATTAGGCCAAGGAAAATCCGTCCACCCGGAAAGAAAAGCATATCAAATAATACAAAAGATGGTCACTACACATTCGTTCCCGCAAAAATCCCCATATCAAATAATACACAACACTACAAAAGATGAGGTCACTACTAATAACAGTGAAGACTGAATTGCTCATTTGTCTCTGCTCTTCTCTTCCTATTTAAGTTCCTTGATGTATGAGGCTCAACTGTTAGGGATGTGGTTGAAGGAGCAACGATGCGTAGATAAGATGGTTCCAAACATCAGGAACTCCCGGCAGACACCAGTGGCTGCAATCCTGTCGCCTTGTCGACACCTTTTTACCATCCGTGTTGGTCTTACCATAGATTGAAGGATGTCCGTCTTTGCGAAAATTAGTCAGCTTTGTCACGTTTAGAAGAATCACAGGTATTTGCATCTGTTTTATGGCTTCCTCTACTATCTTCATTTTCAAAGGATAGGAATCAAGGATTGAACCTTTCTTTACCGGCTCCACCTCCCCGTTGCATGACCCTCCCGAGTCCCACTCGCCTCCCCTGTTCAAGTCAGGACGCAGAAAACACCACTGAAGAACTTAATGTTTCTGAAAAAACAAAAACCGAAACAAGAGAACATGGCGTTTTCCCTCGCTTTCTTTTTGGTTCAACTAAACACTCATCAAGTTTAGGTTCATGAGCGGTGAGCTTTTAAAAGCCAAACCGATCCAAATTCGAACTGAAATGCTTAACTGGAATGTGTTAATAACCCGATCGGTTTTTATTTTATTATAAAACCTATAAACAGAAACCAAAACTGACTTTAGTGCAACGTAACCAATCAAACAGAATTGCTCACTCCTTATCAAGATGATTAAAGTGACATGAACAACTGAAACTCGATTGTAGTTAAAATAAAAGATTGCAGGTGGTAAATAAAAGATCAGGGCCTACCGAAAATGGGCAGAGGAGTATCCGCGATAAAATACAAGTTGCTTTTTTGGATTAACATTCTCATCGATCCATTTCGCCCAAGTCTTCAACGCCCTTCTATATGCTTCAGTTGCATCAAATTTCGGGTAGATGTAGTCACCTTCTTTGTAGTAGTTTTTCCTGCACTAATTTTATTCACCAAGTCATTCACCATTAGTTGCTCTTCGTTATCTAGAAAGATGTCATGAAACCAAATTACAATGGCATGCACCAGTACTATGAAGCTTTAAGATGATGAATTGAGAAGATTTTACAACTTTAATGGTTGCTACAGGTGAATCAATTTAACCTACATCTCGAAACAACGATTTGGGTATTTGAAAATTTTCTGAATAAGTGAAAAAGCTGTCAACATTTGCAAAGAAGAGTGATAACACACAAAAAGGAAAGAACCATACCCTCTGGCGGTCTTCCCATGAACCCACCAATGTCCAGTGTTGAAGACAAGAATGTTAGCTCGCTTCCATCGAGCATGTGTCTTGTCAATGCGATCAATCGAAAGGGTTGGATTAGTATTTCCTTGAGCATTTGCTCTAACTCCTTCCCTCACAAGAAAATGTGACCTCACAAACTCTACTGTGCAATTGTAATCCTGTCATTATCATGTGCAAAACATTGTCGAACATAGCCTTAACTTAGTTAAGACAGATAGATATGCTGAGAAAGAAAAACTGGCATCTACTGCGTGAAAAATAGAGCATACAAAAATGCATGCTGGGAGTCCTGAAAAATTCCAGAGAGTCCATATTAAAAGACCAGGACAAAATAAAAGTAACAACATATTGTAGTACAGATAAGCAGAATCCCAGTGAACAATTCAACTGAAAACAAAGGCAATTACGGATAGAAGAGTGGACTTACTTCAAACTTGAATACGAAGTAGCCTCTTCCCTTTGTTATATTGTGGCCATGAACCTCGTACATTCTACTTTTATCAGATAAACCCTCTCGGAGGACACAGAGCATTGATTCAAACTGGTTACGATTCATTGAGTCTCCAACCAACATCAAACTTTTACCTCGTAGCTTGACCAAGAAGTCTGTAGCATTAAACCTATGATTGAAAGTCAATAAGAAGGGGATATATATGCTATGCACAACCAGGAAAAACAGATGATGTGTTTCTGCTAATCATATCATCTTAAGTGTAACAGTATATTTTATTGATCAAGGACTAAGCTTTGATTATTGCAGTTTTTATAAAGAGAAAGCAAAAGCCATGATTACTAAACACACATGAACCCATTAAAGGAAAATTGTCTGTACAGCTTACAGTTAAGAAAGATGCTACTAACTGATTCATTTATCTATACATCCACACTAAAAATATGTTCAAATAGCATTAGCTTTAAGCTAATATGACAATGCGACTCATGAACACAACCACACAATCTCGATGCTAATAATAACACTCCCTGACTTCAATTCAATCCTAAGGCTCCACGGCTATGTAAGGTGAAAACTTAGAAAGTGAAATGCTGATCAATGTTTTCTTTGGATTGACAATTTACCATCGTCTTAACTTCAATCAGGTGTAACAATGGCGGTTTTGAAATAGAGAAATTGGAAAAGCGATCATACCGTGGAAGGTCACAACCGTCAGGCTTCCATTTCCAATTGAGATAGTCGGAATCGCGCCTCCCGTTTCTCTGGCAATCAAAAGCTTCGTCAACATATGGACACGATCCAGGCTGATACAATGGATACTCATCATCTTTAACCCACGACCCCTTGTACAAATCGCATCCTCTCATCTTCTCAACCACCTCCGATTCGGCATTGCTTTCCTCCTTACTCTCGACAGACACTGAAACTTCGCCTCCTCCACCTTCTTCCACCTCGGTTTTCGCCGTGCGTGAAACTTCCACGGCTTTGTCATCGCCGCGCGAATCTCCTCCTTCCTCCTTTGGATCTGTTTCTACGGTGACGTCACCATCGGCATCGTGAGGCGTTTCGTTGGGAGAGACGGAATCGATTTGAGGGAGGAGGAGCGTGGGAGGGTGTAGATCGGCGGCGGAGAGAGGGATGTCGGTGTGGTAAGGAGAGAGAGAAGGTTCGAGAGTGTGCTTAGTGAAGAGGAAGACACTGCAAAGGAAGAAAACGACGAAGATGGAGGTTGTGAGAGTGTAGGAGACGATAGTGCGAGGGAAAGAAGGGAAGGAAGAAGAAGTCGACATTGTGCCGCCACCATTGAAGAAGCTACGCAGAATTTAGATGCGACTACGATCGATCACTAATACTTTTCATTTTCATTGTAATAATGTAATCCAACTTTAACTAAGAGTCCAAATTATGGAATAGTGTTTACAACATTCTTAATCATTTAAAATCAATTAAGTTCTTAAACAAAGGTAATCCTAATTCCAAACCCCATACAAAGACAATAAAAGGTGACACA